TGGAGCTGGTTTCTGGATAGTCTGGGCTGGATTTTCTTGAGGGATTATCAGGGAAAAGACATTCCAGTACTCGGCAAAGGCAAGTTCCTTGTTAATTTTAAAGCTTTCAAAGGCCACCTGCCTCTAGTGGTAGTTAACGGCAACCTCCCCAGTCTTCTGGGGCTTGATTGGTTCCCCTACCTCGGCCTAGGGTTAACAGGAGTCCATGCTGTCTCAGCTTCTGACACTGACTCCTTATTCACTGACTACTTAGACGTATTCAGCAATGAGTTAGGGTGTTATAAGGGTACCCCCATCTCGTTTGCAGTTGACCCCCAAGCGGTCCCAGTCCGGCTGAAACCGCGCAGAGTCCCATTCGCCATTCGGCCTAAACTAGACGCAGAGCTCGATAAATTATTAAAGCAAGGGGTCATTGAGCCGACAGACTTCGCCAAATGGGAGACGCCAATTGTCACACCCCTTAAAAAGGATGGCAGCCTGAGAATTTGTTCAGATTACAAAACAACAATCAACCGCTTTCTACAAGTTAGCGCGTACCCAGTCCCGGTCATTCAACATTTATTGCATACCTTTGAGCCTGGCAACATTTTTGCCAAATTGGACATGTCACAAGCGTATCAACAGTTCCCTGTTGACAACCAAACAGCCGAACTGCAGACCATTGTGACCCACAGGGGTGCATTCCGGTGCAAGCGTCTCCAGTTTGGCGTAAGTGTTGCCCCGGGCATCTTCCAATCCCTCATGGAGCGTATACTACAGGGCCTCCCTGGCATAGTACCCTACTTCGACGACATATTGGTCTCGGCCAGGGACAGACCCCAACTCTTCCAGAGAGTCAGAGCAGTGTTAGACAGGTTCAGACAGCATGGCCTCAAATTAAAAAAGGAGAAATGTGCCATTGCCACTAGACAGGTGGACTTTCTGGGCTATAGAATTGACGCCTCAGGCATTCACCCCCTAGAGTCCAAGGTCAAGGCAATTCATGAGGCACCCACGCCAACCACTAAAGCCGAGCTACAAGCCTTTTTGGGATTATTGAACTTTTATGCATCATTTCTACCTCACAAGGCATCAGTAGCAGAGCCTTTACACAGGCTCTTAGATAAAAAAGCACCTTGGCACTGGGGACACAAGGAAGACACCGCTTTTCGCGCAGTCAAATCACTGCTCACATCTGACGCGGTCCTTATTCAATTTGACCCACACCTTCCACTGGTACTAGCCGCGGATGCATCCCCTTTTGGGATTGGCGCCGTATTAAGCCATAGACTACCCAACGGCTCTGAGGCACCAATCGCCTTCTTTTCCAGAACGCTCTCAGCGACAAAGCGTAACTATAGACAGATCGACAAGGAGGCTTTAGCCGCAGTGGCCGCGGTTAAGAAATTTCATGAATTCCTGTTTGGCCACAACTTTGAGCTAATCATGGACCACAAGCCTCTCCTGGGTCTTCTTTCCGGAGACAAGCAGGCTCCCCAAGTGTTGTCTCCCAGAATGACAAGGTGGACCTTGTTCCTGGCGGCTTATTCGTACAAGCTCATCCACCGCCCAGGAAAAACGTTAAGCCA